ACTTGCAAGGGTAAATTAAAAGCTGATGTGGAAAGAGCCGGTGATGTTCTTGCATTACAAAAGAGAGGAAAAGGAGCAGAGGGAAATGACACCGGTAGGTCCCCAGGTCCAAGTGTCAATAGAACCAAAGGCAGAGCCAGGAGATCCTTCAAGATTGCTGGACAGATTGCAGTCAAAAGTGGACAAGGGGCTTGGAAGAAACCCAGAGGATGTGGTTGAAGGCAAAGACCCTACACAGCAAGAGTTTCCAATAGTGGTGCAGTCGCCTGATTCAGGACGGGAAAGGCCAAAGCCTGTTTTGCGGAACGATACCCAGACTTGCCTGCCCTCACTCAAAGGGGGAGACAGTCGAAGCTGCTGTCCCATAAGAGATGGAGCAAGCCACCCCCCTCTAGGCCTTGCTGGAGTAGGTGAGGAAGACTACGGCTGCTTGGATACCAGGGCAGCTTACGAGAGTGAGAACGAGGAGGCTGCAGGGAAAGATGCGGCCGTCAGGGAGACCCAGCGGCAGAACTTCCGGCAGTTCCTCTACCAGGAAGCCGAGGGGCCCCGTGAGGCATGCAGCCAGCTGTGGTACCTCTGCCATCGGTGGCTGAAGCCAGAGAGGCACACCAAGGAGCGGATCCTGGAGCTCTTGATTCTGGAGCAGTTCCTGGCCATCCTGCCGACAGAGATCCAGAGCTGGGTGAGGGAACACGAACCAGAGACCTGCTCCCGGGCGGTGACCCTGGCCGAGGAGTTCCTGTTCAGGCGAGAAGAAGCCAAGAGACCCGAAGGACAGGTAAGAGAGCATCTTTTTTTTTAGCGGCACCTTAAAGGCTAACAAAATTTATTCCAGGACGAGCTTTCGTGAGTCAGGGTGGCTTACAGTCTCCTTCTCTTCCTCTCCCCATGACACGCACCCTGTAAGGTAGGTGGGACTGAGAGAGCTCCGAGAGAGCTGTGACTGACCCGTGGTCACTCAGCTGGCTTTTATGTGGAGGAGTGGGGAGTCAAACCAAGTTCTCCCGATCAGGGTCCGCTGCTCTTAACCACGACACCAAACTAAATCAAATAACAAATTTGGCGTCCAGTTGAATAACAGCATAATCTCAGCCCTCCCTGTATCCTACACAGTCCTGAACCATCTGCCCTCCTGTGTGTCTCCAGTCTCTGTGATAAGCGGTCCTCTTGGTCATTTCAGGTGGCCGCCCTGCTTTCTCCCGATGCAGGTAGTGCATTAAGAGAGGGGAGAGACGGAGCTCACAGATTAAGCGACTGCCATACTCCTTGGCGTCGTCACGCTCCCTTAAATGGCCATTTTTTATGTGCTTATGTATCTTTCTGTATTTTAGAGTTTTATTCTGCCCTTTCTCCAGGGACCATGGGGCAGTATATATGGACAGTAGCTCCTCCCACATTTTATTCTTATAACAGCCTGTCATGACCCCAGGGGGTCTCCACCTTCTGCCGCCACCACCCTGGACTTCGGTCCCTAGAGAAGGCCCAGGGTACCTTCCCAAGCCCCTTCAAATTGCCCCTTTGTAGCCAACAAACATAAGCATGATGACCAAGGCAGAGAAACTTAACAATGGTTTATTAAGAACAATACTGGGGCAAGGCAAATAAGGCAAGGTGCTTTAAAAAGGTATAACAGTGTTTAAAAGGCAAAATAAACAGAATATTACTCCTAACTGGCTACTACTTCCGGGCGCACAGCCTGCCTTTTATACCAGGCTACGCTGCAGAAGACGGGGACGGCAAAGGATGAGATGGTTAGACAGTGTCATAGATGCAACGAACATGAAGTTGAGCAAACTTCAGAGGACGGCGGAAGACAGGAGGGCCTGGTGGGACCTGGTCCATGGGGTCGCGAAGAGTCGGACTCGACTGTGCGACTGAACAACAACAACGCTGCACTTGTTCTCACTCTGTCCCAGTGAGGGATCTTTCCCTCCCCCAGACCAGCCTGTCCCCTCAGTGAGACCAGGCCGCAGAGAGAGACGGAAGAACCCCGTTTTCCACAGTTAACAGCTTAGGACAGAATCTCCTCACAGAATTTCTGCACTCTGATTGGCTATAACCCCCTCTAAGCATTATGGGGATTGTAGGCTGTCTGCTTTCTACTGCCATGCTGGTCTCTCCTGGGACCAGGCCACACTGGGCCTTGCTCCCAGTCCTGCACAGATCATGACAGCTTCTGATTGGCCATTGGAGATTTGATTGACTGTACTGGCTCCACCTCCCATGGCAGCAGCCATTTTGTGGCTGCGCCCATCATGCCGTGCCAGAATGTCAAAGGTGCTTGCAGGTGACTCCCAGACCTTTCCCTCCCTCTGGCTCTTGAGATTCAAGGGCTGAGATTGACAGTGTAATGTATTCAATAGCTGCCATTGAATGCATAACGGTATGTGAAACAGCTAATTGTAATGCCATGTTAAGCTTCGTCCTGGGCTAGGATCCAAATACATCCAATCACATTGCTAGCCCAGGAAGCACCTAACCAATCACTATCAGCAAGCTCCCTGAGCGGGAACGTCCGTAATTGGTCCTTATGTATGCAACCTTATTGGTTGGTATTTGTACAGTAGGTGTGGCTACATTCGCTGGGAGAGTTTAAAAGCAGGACAGCTGCAATGTAAAAGCTGTTCTGGCTATTCTGCTAAGGCTTGCTAGGGTTGGGGGGGGGGGGAAGGCCATCATTGATCAGAACCAGGAGCCCTTTCCCCTCTGCCCCTAGTATATCCTGCTCCCAGATTCCTGTAGCTTCAGAAATCTTTTAAAAGCTTACAGAGGAACAGCGGCAGGAGGACTATTCCAGGAAATGGTTTGGGGTTTTTTTTTGATTAATGGCCAAAGGTTCCGAATCTGAGGACGGGCTTTGCTTCCGTGCCCTGAGACAACTTATTTTCTCTCCTCCCAGTCCCATTAACAACCAGACTGGTGAAACGTTCTGGAGAACCCAAAAGCTAAAACCCTGTTTTGAGATGCAAAGTGTTCACTGATACTTTCATCGGTCTTCCTGAAAGATCTTGTTTTTTGGGTTTCCAAGGCAGCTGGATAAAGGGGCTTTTCTGCTAAGACTGTCTAGGGTTGGGGGGAGGCCATCATTGATCAGAACCAGAAGCCCTTTCCCCTCTGCTCCTAGTATATCCTGCTCCCAGATTCTTGTAGCTTCAAAAATCTCTTAAAAACTTACAGAAGAACAGCGGCAGGAGGACTATTCCAGGAAACCCTCAAACCAGGCGGAAGGAATCAGTTTTCTGTTGCAGCCCCCACCCCAGGATTTGGTCCTCAGGAGATATACTGCCTCTGTACTTGGGTGTTCCACTTAACTTTCATAGGTAATAGACCTCTTCACTGCTGAATTTATCTAATCCACTTAAAGTCAGCTGTGGGACTGACCATCACTGTATAGGTAAAGGTAAAGGTTTCCCTTGCTCGAAAGCCAGTCGAATCCGACTCTAGGGATGCGGTGCTCGTCTCTGATTCCAAGCTGAAGAGCCAGCGCTGTCCAAGGATGTCTCTGTGTTCATGGGGCCGGCATGACTAGACGCCGAGGCGCACGGAACGCTGTTACCTTCCCACCAAAGTGGTGCCTATTTATCTACTTGCAATTTATCGCTTTCAAACTGCTAGGTTGGCAGGAGCTGGGGCCAGAGGTGGAAGCTCACTCCGTCATGCAGCACTCGGGTCTCGAACTGCCGAACTACCGACCTTCCGGTCTGCAGTTCAGCGTCTTAACCACCTGAGCCACCGCAGCCCCCCCCCATCACTGTATAGGTGTGTGTTATGTGCCCTGAAGTCGCTTCTGACTTATGGCGACCTTCTGAGTTAATGTCCTATCCTTAACAGCCTTGCTCAGGGCTTGCAAACTGAGGGCCTTTGTGGCTTCCTTGATTGAGTCAATACATCTCTTGGTGGGTTTTCCACTTTTCCTGCTGCCTTCAACTCTTCCTAGGATGGTTGTCTTTTCCAGTGACTCTTGTCTTCTCACGATGTGCCCAAAGTATGATAGCCTCACTTTAGTTATTTTAGTTTCCAGGGATAATTTGATTTGATTTAGAATCCACTCCTTTTTGACAGTCCATGGTATCCATAAAACTCTTTAACGTCTCATTTCATTGCAGCTTTCTTCCTGTCGGCAGAGAAAGGTCTTTCAAATCACCTACTGCTTGGTCCCTTTCAACTGGAGATACCGGGAATTGAACCTGGGACCTTCTGTTTGCATGAACACACGGCGCTGCCTTATATTGAATCAGACCCTGGGTCCATCCAGGTCAATCTTGTCTGCACAGACTGGCAGTGGCTCTCCAGGGTCAGGGGTCTTTCATGTCACCTTCTACACTGATCCTTTTAACTGGAGATGCCGGGGATTGAACCTGGGGCCTTTTGCATGCCAAGCAGAGACTCTTCCACTGAGCCACAGCACCTGTCTGACCTTCAACTTTCTTCAACTTTCACACCCCTACATAGTAGGGGGGTACCACAGTGTGATTATCACTGCAGCCTGTGAAAGTGAGTCCCACAAATCACGTGTTGTATGAAGACAGACATTCTTTGTTCTATCCCTAATCTGCTGCCCATCGATGCCGTGCGGCGCCAGAGTTCTAACAGTATGGGACAGGAAGAAGTTCTCTCTATCCACTTTCCCCACCTCATGTATAATTTTTGTTTAAAACATTGTATATTCTTTAAGGAGGAAAAATGGCTACTCACTTCCTCCTCCTGCGGTTCCTTTTCTTCCCAGTGCTGGCAATAATTCATATCAGAAATCTTTCTCTCTTTTTGGTCCTCTAGACATAAGATGCCTGAGTGGGGAGGAAGAAGAGGAGGGCAGGCCCCTGCTGAGAAGCCCTTTGCCTGTGGAGTCTCATGGGAAGGAAAGATCTTTACGACTTCTGCCCGAGATAACAGATTCTCCCGTTTATTCAGAGGCAAAGCTGGGAAGTCACCCAGAAGACAGTGGTGGCAACGCAAATGAAATCTTGCTAGACCTCCGTGAACTTGGAGGCCAACAGATACCTCTGAAAGGCAAGAAACAGAGGACTTGCAGCGTGTGTGGGAAAAGCTTCAGCCGGAGCACCGGCCTGATCGCGCACCAAAGAATCCACACTGGAGAGAAACCGTACGAGTGCTCGGCCTGCGGGAAATCCTTCACCTTGCGGTCCAATTTGATTTCACACGAAAGGACCCACAATGGGGAAAAACCATACCCATGCCATGAGTGTGGGAAAAGTTTTAGCGTCAGTTCGCAGCTCATTAAACACAAGAGAACCCACTCTGGGGAAAAACCGTACAAATGCACAGAATGCGGACAAGCGTTCCGCCAGAGCTCTCACCTTAAAAACCACCAGAGAATCCACACGGGTGATAAACCGTTTAAGTGTTCAGATTGTGGGAAAAGCTTCAGCGTGAGCTCAGACCTGATTAGGCATGAGATATCCCACACAGGGGAGAAACCATACCAGTGCCTGGACTGCGGCAAACGGTTCTGCAGCAGCTCACAGATCATTACTCATCAGCGCGTTCACACGGGAGAAAAGCCCTATAAATGCCTGGAGTGTGGGAAAAGCTTCACTGTGAGCCAGCAGCTCAGTCGGCACCAGAGAGTTCACACTGGAGAGAAACCATATAAATGCCCCGAGTGTGGTAAAACCTTTGGTGTCAGCACACTCCTTACTGGACACCTGAGGATTCACACGGGCGAGAAGCCATACGAATGCTTGGAGTGTGGGAAAAACTTCAGGTTACGTTCAAATCTTATTGCGCATCAGAAAATACATGCTGCGAGGAAATCCTAGAAACTGTTTGACTGTAGGAATAAAAAAGGGATTTCCTTGAATTTGACTTGAATTTAACTCATTTGTTTCTTGGAAGTCATATTTATGTAAGGGGTTCTGGGGCCCTTATCAGACCCTCCCAGAAGATATCTTTGTTTTGATTAGGGATATAACTAAAGAGCAATTTACTACAAAGGTACGCTCATGAGTTAGGACATTTCTTTACATTTCTAGCAGTAGAAAAGAGCAAGAGTCTAGTAGCACCTTAAAGACGAACAAAATTTGTGACAGGATTTTGTTAGTCTTTAAGGTGCTACTGGACTCTTGCTCTTTTGACTAACACAGCTACCCATCTTGACCTTACATTTCTAGTAGGTGTAATGTGAAGAAATGCTTTTGAGACTATAGGATTGTTGTTGAAACCTGGATTATACAACTAGATTAAGAAAATGAATATAATCTCATAATTCGGGCCTGTGAAACTATATTATGTTTGGGGTGCTTTCATGGAAATCCTGGGTATTGGCGTAAAAGTGATCTTGCCTTTTAATTATAGTGAACCTGATGCTCTGAATCTATTTATTTGCTCTTTGTGCCTCGCCTTTCTCCCCAGTAGAGACCCAAGCATTTTACACCATGCGGTTGTATCCTCACAAAAACCGTGCGAGGGCGGTTAGGCTGAGAGTGTTTGAGTGGCTCAAGGTCACCCATGGCAGTGTGGGAATTCAAGCCTGGATCCCCCAGAGTGAATCCTGGTCCAACACTCTAACTCAGAGACGTCAAACTCATTTGTTATGAGGGCCGGATCTGACGTGTGCCATAAAACGTAATGCCAGATACTGGAGATACAAAGAACAGCAGCTGGTAAACTCCAAGTTGGTGTGTCCTCACTGCAAGGCCCCATGGGCTGGGAGGGGGGTGCAAAGGAAAACCCATGTGGGCGGACTGGAGAGCCAGCGGTGCAGCACTGGGCTCCCACGATGCTTGACTGGTGCAGATGAGGTTCTTCTGCTGTGCTGAAGCCACAACGGAGTGACTCCGCCCACTCCCCCAGCACTTCCTCCCTTGCATCAGTTGCTCATGGGCTGCATAAGAGCCCTAGACGGGCTGGATCCAGCCCCCAGATCTTATGTTTGACACCCCTGCTCTAACTATTATTGTCACACTGGCTTCCCCAATAAAATAAATACATTTCTCTGGAACGTATTGTTTCCCACTTAATAACAGCAGTCTTAATACAAATCCCACCCTTGACTAAATCTTGGCTCAGAGGGGGTGAATTTTCATGCCACGGATGTCCCATATTGCCCCTCCAACCAGAACTGGATCCCTTTGCTGATATCCCATGACAGTGGTAGAGTATCTGCTTGGCATGCAGAAGTTCCCGGGTTCAATCCCCGGCATCTCCAGTTTTTTAAAAAAAGGACCAAGCAGGTGGTGATGATAGAAACTTCTGCCAGAGACCCTGGATGTCTACTGCCAGTCTGAGTGGGCAATACTGACCTCGATGGACCAAGGGTCTATTTATCGTATAGCAGTTACACACAGGAAGCAAGAAATAATATAAAACAACAAACCTAAGTTGATACAACAGGTATACAGACAGGTTGAACACTCCCACTATATACTACCACCTGAATTTTCAATCCACTCAGTCACAGTTGGGGAGCGCTCAGAGAGCTCCATTACATCTCTGTGAAAAGCACGAGGTTCACATTCTTGTGATAGATGGAAAATAGTTTGGCGGGCTGCGCCACAATCACATTCGGGCCCTGATATTTTGCCCCACTTAAACAACAGGTCTGCACACCTGCCAAAGCCTCTTCTTATTCTATTAGCCATCTTCCATACTTTATGTGGCAAGTCAAATCCTGCGGGCTTCTCGTGGGTGTTTATCAGGTTATGGATGTTGGGTGGATACAGGAGAACAGCTGGCCTAGACAGGCTAGGGAGGAAGTCAGAGAGGAAGGCTTTCAGCATGTTTCTGTATCTCTATGGTGCACACCCTTTCCGGCCCGCCTTCTCGTGGGCGGGAGCGGCTAGAAGCGCGTCCAAATCGCCTGTATGAACGCTGTTGGTAAGCGGTGAGATTGGGTTGGTGGCCTGGCTGATTGAAGGCAGTGCAGTCCAATGTCGTGCATTGCACTTTATTGATTATATTGGGGTGCCGTTTGATCTAGTGCACTGGCTATTGGGGTACAGCATGGTTTTTCTTGCTTGCAGTATAAGCAAAGTAAATAAATACATAACATTCGCACTTCGCATTGGGCCGAAGTGGATAATTACTTTGGCAATTCCGAGCCAGGTGTGCTAACTCTGCAAAGTGTTCCACTGAGGGTGTGTGGGTTTGGGTTTTTTTTGTAGTTGGTGTGTCCTCACTGCAAGGCCCCATGGGCTGGGAGGGGGGTGCAAAGGAAAACCCATGTGGGCGGACTGGAGAGCCAGCGGTGCAGCACTGGGCTCCCACGATGCTTGACTGGTGCAGATGAGGTTCTTCTGCTGTGCTGAAGCCACAACGGAGTGACTCCGCCCACTCCCCCAGCACTTCCTCCCTTGCATCAGTTGCTCATGGGCTGCATAAGAGCCCTAGACGGGCTGGATCCAGCCCCCAGATCTTATGTTTGACACCCCTGCTCTAACTATTATTGTCACACTGGCTTCCCCAATAAAATAAATACATTTCTCTGGAACGTATTGTTTCCCACTTAATAACAGCAGTCTTAATACAAATCCCACCCTTGACTAAATCTTGGCTCAGAGGGGGTGAATTTTCATGCCACGGATGTCCCATATTGCCCCTCCAACCAGAACTGGATCCCTTTGCTGATATCCCATGACAGTGGTAGAGTATCTGCTTGGCATGCAGAAGTTCCCGGGTTCAATCCCCGGCATCTCCAGTTTTTTAAAAAAAGGACCAAGCAGGTGGTGATGATAGAAACTTCTGCCAGAGACCCTGGATGTCTACTGCCAGTCTGAGTGGGCAATACTGACCTCGATGGACCAAGGGTCTATTTATCGTATAGCAGTTACACACAGGAAGCAAGAAATAATATAAAACAACAAACCTAAGTTGATACAACAGGTATACAGACAGGTTGAACACTCCCACTATATACTACCACCTGAATTTTCAATCCACTCAGTCACAGTTGGGGAGCGCTCAGAGAGCTCCATTACATCTCTGTGAAAAGCACGAGGTTCACATTCTTGTGATAGATGGAAAATAGTTTGGCGGGCTGCGCCACAATCACATTCGGGCCCTGATATTTTGCCCCACTTAAACAACAGGTCTGCACACCTGCCAAAGCCTCTTCTTATTCTATTAGCCATCTTCCATACTTTATGTGGCAAGTCAAATCCTGCGGGCTTCTCGTGGGTGTTTATCAGGTTATGGATGTTGGGTGGATACAGGAGAACAGCTGGCCTAGACAGGCTAGGGAGGAAGTCAGAGAGGAAGGCTTTCAGCATGTTTCTGTACCTCTATGGTGCAAACCCTTTCTGGCCCCGCCTTCTCGTGGGTGGGAGCGGCTAGAGGCGCGTCCAAATCGCCTGTATGAACGCCGTTGGTAAGTGGTGAGATTGGGTTGGCGGCCTGGTTGGTTGAAGGCAGTGCAGTCCGATGTCGTGCATTGCGCTTTATCGATTATATTGGGGTACCGTTTGATCTAGTGCACTGGCTATTGGGGTGCAGCATGGTTTTTCTTGCTTGCAGTATAAGCAAAGTAAATAAATACATAACATTCGCACTTCGCATTGGGCCGAAGTGGATAATTACTTTGGCAATTCCGAGCCAGGTGTGCTAACTCTGCAAAGTGTTCCACTGAGGGTGTGTGGGTTTGGGTTTTTTTTGTACCCCTGGTTTTTCCTGCTGGCAGCTGCAAGAAACTGGTGGGTAAATGACACAGGTGAGCCCTGTAGTTACATAGTGGAGAGGGACATCGGATGGCAAAGAAGAGAGAAATGGGGGCGGAGAAAAAGCTGGCCTTATGGCTGTGAAGATGACCTGCAGTCATTCCTATCAAACTCCTTTGGCCTCCTGTTGTAAACACATTGCCTACCTTACATGGGTGTTGTATGAATGAAATCACAATGCATGGGGGGGCGACTTCTCACATGTACCCAGGGTTGAGCTTGGTTTGTCTTTGGGGTGCCGCTGGGCTCTAGCTTCATTCTGACATCTCTGTTTTGCTGCCGGCCCTTGATCCCGGGTCCTGAGGCCTGGCCAGCAAGCAGCCGTGCGGGAAAATGATGGCGCCAGCCAGAAGACGTCTACACCGGACAGTGACGGCGCGTGCAATTAAAGTCAATATATGTTGTCTTCCCTATCCCCTACGAACATTGTTAGTCCCTTGTCTATATATGGAGTAACTGTACATCGCTTTGAGCCCACTGGGGAAAACGATTAATAAATGGAAAGTATCATCATCATCATCATCATCATCATCATCTTACCGGCCCACCTGATCCAATTTCAGCCCTGTATATGCATCTTGGCTCCGAGTGGCCCCTGCTAACAGCTGCCCCCATCCTCTATTCTCCTATAAGTAGCCCTTGAGATTTTATTCCAGTGTGTCCGAAGAAGCATGCTTTGCACACAAAAGCCGACACTTCGAATAAAACTTTGTTGGTCTTGAAGGTGCCACTGGACTCAAACTTTGTTCTGCTGCTTCAGACCCACACGGCTACCCCACCTGAATTTTTATTAGGGGGATGACATTACACTGGCATCAGGGATAAGAGTGGCAGCTGGGACCCAGGATTTGAATCTTGCTCCTGCCACCGCCTCGTACATAGCCTTAGGTAAATCTTGCCTGTGGTATTGGGGGTCGTAATGCTGGCCTACCTCACAGTGCTGCCATCAGGATATCAAGGTGTCAGGTGTGTTTGGAACACTGGAAGTGTTTACATAACTCTGAAGAGATGTTGGCCTAAACTGAGAGCCAGTTTGGTGTAGTTAGGAGCGCGGACTCTGAGCTGGAAGAACCGGGATTGATTCCTCAGTCCTCCACATGCAGCCAGCTGGTTGACCTTGGGTCAGTCACACGTTCTCTCAG